AATTTCAAAAATTGGAGTGTATACAGTATCTATGATTACATGTACACGTACATATTTTATTTCACTCACTCTCCCTCCCTCCCACTCTCCTTCTCTCTCCTTCTCTCTTTCCCTCCCACCCTCCCTCTCTCCCCTCTCCCTCCCTTCCTCCCTCCCTCTCTCTCTTTCTCTCCCTCCCTCTCTCTCTCTCTCCTCCTTTCTCTTCCTCTCCTTACCAGGAAGTTCTCTTGTGCACTGTATCTTGGTAGGGCTGGTATTGCTTCCATGGTAACGAGGGGAATGGAGTGATGAAAATACTTATCATAGTGGTTAACAAAAGTAAATGAAACCTATAATAAATGTATTAATGATTAACTACAGTAAAATGACTCAAAAATTGGGCCAAAGACCCTGTACTATAATGGTCAAATTAGAAAGTTTGAGCTGATTCTGATCAAAATTAGATTTTTCTTTTAAAGTTGCTAAAAATTAGGCCAAAGACCCTGTACTATATTAGCCAAATTTCGTCAATAATTGCTAGGAGATAATTCTCCACTTTTAGGTCAACAGGCACATCAATTGGCCAACACTTATCACATGGAACCCTCTACTGTATGTTAATACTTATTAAACTATCAGAAAACTTGATGGTAAGCAAATTATTAATAAACTTGAAATCAAACAATCAATTGGTAATACATGCATTATTATTATTATATTATTATTATTATTATTATTATTATTATTATTACATTGTTAGTTGAAATGTCTTTAAGTGTGACTAGTGTTTTATGTACAGTTGGTAATGGACTTTTATCAATTGATTCTCTCACTGATAATAAATATTTATAATTATCATCCAATGAGTCCTAAAAATGATAAAAAATAATATAGATACAATATATATTTTGACTATAAACACTAATAACAAAAACAGCATAAAAATCCAAATTTGATGGGAATCAGCTCAAACTTTCCATGCAATATAAGTACAATGTACATGTACATGTATATGCATCAAAAAATATCATAAAAGTGAAGAATTCTCTCTTAGCAATTTTAGGCAAAATACCTACTACCCACTGGTGGCAAATTTTAACCTGCACCACCCTGTTGGCAGTTTTGTACTACATGTAGCTCTACATGGACTACCCTGTTGGCAATTTTTGACAAAATGAAAATCACAATGTACAGTAATAGACATACAACAATAAAAATTTGTTCGTTTCTGCATAATAATAATGATGATGACAATAATGATTCTTACCTTCAATGCTCTCAAATACTGTGCTCTCTTGACACTGGTTATCTTCTGATACTCTTGCTTAGCTTTCATCTTAAAAGCAGTATATGATATCTTCCCCTTTAAATAATACATTATTAATAACAATAATGAGAATATAAGACAATAAATGACTCACTCCATCTTCATGTGATTTAGGAATAAGAGGAGGAGCACTCTTGCTACTACTGGACGCCATTTTTGGGGGTGATAAAAATTAATTATAATAATTAATGCAAAATTATCATCAGCCCACGTCCATATTCCTACAGCAGAAATGGAGTGTGTGCATTAAAGGTTGCATAGTTTGTGTACTGTACTATCTATGATTATACTGATATTTCAAAATAAAAAAATGATAAAAGACATAGTTGTAGGAGTCTAAGTTAGTAGAATACTCCGCTGTAGAAAAAAGTCTGCACTAGATGCTACTACAGTTCAGTTAAAGCTGCCAAGAGTAAAAGTTAGTATCATGATGTCATTATGTAAACTTGAGCTGCTTTCAATAAAAAATAACAATTGTATTCATGTGTTGTGTAGTAGTCTGGCTGCACCAGACTATAGTGTAGCAGCCCTGCCTTGCGTGTACTCATGAGTGTGCTTTTTGCTGAGAGTGCTGTTTTGACTGTTAACTGCTGTTGTTTTCAATTAGAGATTGTAAGAAATCTGCTGTCTGCCAAACATGTGAGGCTTTGAATTGTTGATTTGTTATTGTTGGCATATCTTGCAGGTCATATGGTTCAGGAGGTACAACTGGTGATGATCATCAGTTAAACCAATTGAAGGAACAAGTGGAACAGGTCATAAAAGCATAATGTATGCACCTGTAGAAACTTCTTTTAGATCCTTCTTGCCTACTGAAATTTCTATTGCTTGAGTTTTTAAGCAAAAGTATACAATAGTGGAAAAATAGTTTTTGATTACCAATGATGTATTTTGTATATGTCCATATATAGGAAGCAAAAGTCAAACTTAAACTACTTACATCCTTACAGCAATTTTGAGTGTTGTATCCAGCCTTCACAAATGCAAGATATGACCAGCACTACTATATGTTTCTACTTTCCAATAGGCTAAAAATGTTTTGAAAGACAAAATTGATACAGTTTGTGCAAGAGGAGATCAACTAAGCAATCTGATGGACAGAGCAGGTTTTAATTTTCAATTTTTTTGCTTGCACAAGCATTAGGAAGTATTTGTTGTTTACTTTACATTGCATGAAAATGTATATGCATGTACATTAACTAATGATGATAAAATTCTTGTATAAAATTAATGTGTAAGGAATGCATTAATTTAATTCAGCAACCTGACTGTAAACAGATGCATATAGACAGCATAGTAAACATTTGATTGTATGCATGCCTAATAATTTGAATTTTAATGCACACCAAAGTTAATATTTCCTTCATCCCTTCATATTGATGGCAATTATTTTCAATGCATTGAATGATTTATTACTTTATTTTAGAGAACTTGAATGAGGATGCTGAATTATTTCAAA